GTTGTCGCGATTGCAGCACCAGTTCCACCTTTCCCCGGCCATCCTCTCGATCCTCCATTCCGCAGCCGTTTTCAGGCACGCTTTGTCGACCCCGTCGGCGCGTTTCTTGCCCTCTGCCCTCCGAACGCGAATGCTGACAACACAAGTCTTGAGTCCCGGTTACGGGAGCTAGTTCTCTCAACGCAATACGCCTCTGAATCTCGCGATGCGCTTTCAGCCGTCTCCATGAGTGTCATCCCTCCTTTTCCGCAGACCGCGCTTCAAAAGCTCTCCGCCCTAACCGCCGCTTTTCCGCCGGGAGCGCTCTCTCCCTACCACCTCGCGCGACTGATGGTGACCCTCCACACCGCGCTCGTCTATGCGCCAATGCAGGCATGGGCCATCCTCAGCCGTCAGACCGAAGAGATGGGTCTCGGTGTACTCGGCAATCCCATCCTGGCGTTCGAAGATGAAACAGACGACAGGGAAGGCGAGAGTGCCGGTCTTCTCAATTATACCCTTGTCTCCCTTTCACGCCTCTCGCCGACCAGCGCCACCGCAGTCTTCTCGCACCCCTCCCTCCCCAGTGTCTCGCTCACAATTCCCGCCGGACCCGCACCGCTACATCCGTTTCCTTTCACTGGATCAGCCTCCTTCACCCCATCCCTGCGTTTCGTTGGTCTCCTCACGACGCTGATCCAAGCACACGCGCTCGGCTGGGACGTCTCCCTCGTGCCACCCGCCGCTCCAGCGACCGCCAGCAGCAGCACCAGCACGCTCGTGCGCGTATTCGGCGAGGTTCTTGGGTATACCGTGGACAATGTGCATCTGTACAAAGAGCTTGGCGGGCGCGAGCTGCTCATGCGGCGGCGGATTCTTGACGGCGGAGCGACTGCCTGGGATCCTAGGTCGGTTCTTTTGTTGTTGTTGGCGAGGAAGATGAATGATTGATAACACGTTTCATCTGTAGTTCCATTGTCGAGGCGGCGTGGGCGGGGAAGCTTGTGCACCTTTCGGGATTGGACGTCATTGGGCCTACAGCTGGTGCGCTTGCGAGATTAGTACAAGATCGCGAGGCGGAGCTGTGGGATGGCAAACGTATTGTCGCGGAGGCTACTCGTTCAGAGGTAGGTCGATTTACTTTATATTCTCTAGATTTTCGCGTTATACCTTCTTATCCAGATTGACTCCAGCTCCGGCACGCTCAGCATAGCTCATCCCTCTTTCCGCCTCATCGCGACGGCGTCGAAATCACTTCCGTTAAAAGACTGGCTCTCTGCCGAGCACGCAAACATGTTCTTCCCTGTAGCCGCACAGCCAATGGGCCGCGCCGAAGAAGAGGCCATACTATTCGCCACTGGCTGCAGTCCGTCTACTGTCAAGCGTCTGCTGGCGTTCGCAGAGCGATATCGGGCTAGCATGTCGGAGGACAGCGTGCAGAAGAATAGGAAGCTCGGAACCCGCTCGCTCGTGCGCATTGCACGTCGGATGGCTGCGGTCAGCGGCGGTAAATACGACGCTGGGGCACAAACGGAGGAAGCGCAGGAAGATGATTTGCGATCTGTACTTAGCCGCACTTTATTGCTCGAGTTCCTCCCCGCTATGGAACGCTTGAATGTTGAGCAGCTTTTAGACGAGGCGGCGATCCCGCGTCTGGCACCTGCAGTGAGTTTCTACTCAAATCTGCCCCCGGTCATTCAATGCTAACCTACCTTCGACGTATAGTACAATCCCAGCCCATTCGTAGAGGAGGATGCACTTGTTTTTCCGGGCCCGAGCACCACTGGCGGTCCATCGTATGCAACGCGAGTACCGCTGTTTAATGTGACGGACGACATTGTCGGGGTGAAATCGCATGTGCCCTATATGGACCATTTCTACGATAATAGCCTGCAGACGGAGCTCATGCGCGACCTCGCAGTCGATTTGGAGCTGCTCGGTGAGCATGTCGTTCTGCTCGGGAACCAGGTTTGTATCTAGGTTGTGCACTTTTCGTTGTTTGCTGACTGTTGGTGTATAGGGCGTCGGAAAGAATAAGATTGTAGACAGGTGAGTCTATCCCTGTCCTTTTGCTGGAGATTCTAACAGTTTACAGGCTCTGTCAGGTGTTTTGTCTTCTTCGACCGATTCCAAAACGAAGTGGCTCATCTTGCCATCCATTTAGCTCCTTGGTCGCCCGCGCGAATATATCCAACTACATCGCGACACGACGGTTAATCAGCTTATGTTCACCACCTCACTGGAGAACGGCGTCATCAAGTACACTGACTCACCGCTGCTTCGCGCCATAGCTTTCGGCCGGGTAATCATCATCGACGAAGCAGACAAAGCGCCTGAGCATGTCGTCGCGATCTTCCGCAGTCTTGCCGGCCAGAGTGAACTCAGTCTGTCTGATGGGCGAAGAGTGCGCTCCGTCAAGGAACGCCCGTCCGATATTGTCGTGCACCCTAATTTCCGACTCGTTCTGTTGGCGAATCGTCCCGGATATCGTACGTGGTCTGCCATGCTCGTACGATGAATTTTCTGACGGTGCCGGTGCCACTAGCGTTCCTGGGCAACCACTTCCTCCAAGTTCTGGGAGAAACGTTCAGCGCGCATTCGGTGACGAATCCTGATCAGATTTCGGAGCGTACATTGCTCGGTCAACTGGCTCCCGAGATCGACGACGAACTGATCCTGCGGCTCGTCGGCGCGTTCCACGATCTGCGCAAGGGCTACGACGCCGGCACTCTGAACTATCCGTATTCGCTTCGAGGTATGTCGCGCATTGTCACTCCAGCTGCCTACATTCATTCAAACCGCCGCCCTGCAGAGTTGATCAACCTTGTGAAGCACCTGCAAGCGTATCCCAATGACACCCTTGGCGATGCCCTCCGGAATGTGTTCGACTTTGATGTCTACAAGCCCGAGACAATCGAGCAGTTGGCTGCTATCCTATCTCGGCATGGGTCAGTACCTTCTCTGGGTATCTATGAGTCTGCCTCTCACGATTTCTGTAGGCTTGGAAGCCATGCACCTCATCTAGGTATTGTCGCTGCACGGGAAGCCGCGAATAAGAAGATCAAGGATGCGAAATTCGAGCCGAAGGCAACAGAGCTCGGTGAGCCGAAGGAGGGCGAGCATGATGATAAGGAGCACTCTGGAGGCAACAAATGGGCTGGCGGGGTAAAGTTCTCCCCAGACGTACACAAAGCTGAGCTGACCGGCGATGTAGACGGGAGGCCGCGATACCGCCGGTCTAGGCGGTCGTGGTGGGTACAAACGCTTTTACAAAGGCGGCAATATCAATCAGGTTTGTCTAGAGGCTACTTCGCTCGCGCTTCACTCTCATACCACACAGGTTTCCGACGAGCTCAAGAAGCAGGTCCCCGACCATGTTCGAGAGAAGGCGCGTCAGATGGCCCGGGAGGAGCTGCAGCGCCGATTGGAAGAGCTCGATATGAGTGTATCGGAGGCAGCGGGATACGGGGAGTTGTTGAATGCGACGCAAGCGCATATGGTTTCTCTATACGATCTGTTAGAACGTACGGGCTCTTCTTGGTTCTCGATGTGCGGTTAGGCTCATGATCATCGTAGACCTTGCGGCAAAGGAGGAGGAGCGAGTTTGGGTTAAGCGGCAGACGGATGGAGAGTTGGATGATAGTCGGTTGACTGAGGGGCTCACTGGTGAATCGACGGTGTACAAGCGGCGGGGCATGGAGAAGCCTGAGTTGGGGCGGCCGCAAGTGAAGTATGTGGTTTGATTTCTTCGAAGGAGTGATTGCTCATGGTATACCGATAGACCGAAACGGATTCGATTTATATTCGATCTCAGTGCTTCGATGTATGTTTTACCTTCTTCATTCAAGTTTGGAATTCATGAGCGTGTCGTCTAGGTACCGCTTCCAGTATGACGGGCGTTTGCAGCGGAGTATGGAGACAGGTATGCTATGTACCTGTCTGTAGCTGCATGTCCATGGCTGACCGTGCTTGATGTAGCCGTTATGCTGATGGAGACATTCGACCGTCTATCCCGCAAGGAGAAGTATGTTTGGGATGTGAGTGATCTTGTATGCTTGTGTTCTCCATGACCCAAGCGATACAGATGTATGGCCATTCCGGGGACGGGGCTGACATAGCGCTTGTCTCTGAATTGAAGCCGCCGACAGATATGAAAGATCGGTGCATTCGTTTCGACCTCGATCTATATCTACGGACTGAGAGACATTCAGCTGGAAAGTGGTGGAGAAGATGTCAATGATACCTCAGTATGCATTTGCGGGCGACTATACAGGTCTGTTTACCTCCATCCTGTCTTCGATGGTCTGAATCTTGTGTGTTCCTTGTAGTGGAAGCAATCGAGAAGGGCGTCAAAGACGTAGCCGCTTTCGATGCCGGTATGTGTCAAGCCTCTATGAGCTGGTGTCCGGCGCTGATTCGTTGCTCTAGATGACTGGTTTGTGATTGCGATAACCGTAAGAAATTCTCCCCTCGTTTTGCTGTGACTCAATGCACATCCACAGGACGCAAATTTTGGGAGGTACATGATCAAGCCGGAGGATCTCAGCCGCGCAATGAGGCGCGACCCAAAGGTGCACACCGCACTCATCTGCATCGGGGAGGGTGCCGAGGCTACTTGGTGGGTGGTTCCCTGGATTTCAGTCTCGCGTTTGCTGAGAGGTGCCGTGAAATAAACAGGATACCTAAGAGTCTTCCGGGTAAGGGATTCCGAGTTGCGAAGACAGCAGATATTCCCACCGTGTTGCGGAGTATACTGTCCACCATGATTGATAGATGAAGTCGGTAGAGGAGACGAAAGTAGATCATAGATTTTACTTTAAATTCAAGTGAATGCTAGTGAAGAAGCAGCACGTCGATACAGGCTGAGATTGGGAGGATTATAGACAACGAGTTGCCGACAACTCAGGCAAGGACAAAGAAATTTAAGTCAGACCTTTTTCGAGGCGAGAGCTTGGGAGCCATGTAGCGTCCCATTTAAGCTTCTTGACGCTCTATATGTATCAATCATCTGCACTTTGCACGGTTCAATAGTGTAGTCGGTTTATCACGTCTGTCTCACAGAACGGTGTCCCAAAAAGTAACCGGATACACTGTCGTGGTCACAGGAGGTCCCCGGTTCGAGCCCGGGTTGAACCACTTTTTGCGCTGTTCGTTCTTTTATGTTGCTACAGTATCCCTAAATCTTTTGTTGCTTTTTACCTCCTGTGATCCCTGGAGTTCCACATCATGCATCCCACATACCTACCTCCGTGCTCAAGAGGTTTCCGGCTGCGCGAACTTTCCATTTCCCTTGTTCCATATGTTCTCTGCTTCAAATTGCCAAGCTCCAGAGCAGCTTCCGTTTGTTTTTCGATCAGCATGAGTTTTGCTCGTATGACTGATGCCTCATGGCCCAATGCCGACGAAAAACGCGTCCCTTCACATAAATAAACGCGCTTTCAATTCTGTTGTTTCCGATTCGCTGCGGAGTTTGAAATCCGTAATGTTTGCCCGAAATGGAAGTCTCCAAGCCGTCAAAAAATCTCTTTCCTTCCGCCACCATGTCGCCTTCGTCCTCCGATTCAAATGCTGCTCCTTCTGTGCCCCTCTCACGACCAGAGAACCCACAAAATGCCAATAAGCCACCAGTCTGGGCCATTGACTCGGTTGCTCCTACTTCTCAGCCAATTCCCACCGCACGTTGCTCGCGCCATGTTAGACCCGACGGTGTCTGCTGCAAAGAACTCAAAGGCGACGAGCGTACTCTCATAGACCCAGATGTCATCCGCGACGTGTAGGTCTTGAGCGCAAGCGTTGACCATTCGCTTAGACTAAATCACTCCACCCAGCGTCATCGGCCTTTCCGACGGTCTCACGGTACCTTTCGCGTTGACCGCCGGCCTCTCGTCCCTCGGTGAATCTCGACTCGTCGTCCTCGGAGGCGTCGCGGAACTCATCGCGGGCGCCATTTCCATGGGTATCGGCGGCTTCCTTGCCTCGCAAGCCGAGCGCGACCACTACCGCTTCCTCCGCGACACCACCGCCGCGCGCGTCGTCCGGAGCTGCGACGGCGAAATGGAGAGAGAGGTCGCGGAGGTGCTGGCCCCCATCGGCGTCGACGAGCGGACATGCCGCGCCGTCGCCCGCTGTCTCCGCGAAGTCGAGGTCCCCAACTCCTCCTCGAATCCCATAACGACCCACGATCTAGAGTCGAACGATTCTCTGCGGTGGAGCAAGGAGGTCGGTCTCACGCCTTTCCTGCTTAAATTTGGTGCGGGCCTCGAAGAGGTGCCGACGAGCCGGCTATACGTTTCTGCATTCACCATCGGCATGGGATACCTCATCGGCGGCATCATCCCCCTCATCCCGTACTTCTTCATCCCCCGCGCACACGTCGCGCTGCTGTACAGCGCCATCGTAACGGGTATTGTTCTCCTGGTCTTTGGCGCCGTTAAAGCGCACATCACTGGTGCTGGTGTCGGTACCGGCGGATATGTCTGGGGTGCATTCAGCACGTTGTGTGTTGGAGGTGTGGCGGCTGCGGCGGCGTTTGGAATTGTCAAGGCTCTGGAAGGTGGTGCGTAGCGAAAACTACTTCAATTCTCTCGATTTGTATCTACTATATATTGTACTGTAACTCCATAGCATAGAGGTTTCTTGGAACTATTAGCGTTCATCCAATGTATCTGCATTTTTTTCCGCCCTGAATTGGCCAAAACCACTCGAAAGTCACCCGCCTCCGCTTAACGCCCCGGTGCCTCGTCGGCCCATGCAGAGGACCGACATATTTCCAGATAAGAAAGAAGACCAGCCGCACGAAAGCCCTAGATTACCTACCGTACCCCGCGCCGGACCTTGTGCCTTATTATTATTGCCTCAACCCCAGACTACCACACTACACTCAATGGCTCTGCACATTGTGCTGATGCGTAATCGGCGTATCCTGCAATTTACTGATATGAGCACATACGAAAGCCCCAAAATAACAAGCATATGTACTCACCTCCATCACCTCCTGCGCACTCTCCTCCTTCAGCCTTATCACGTCTTTCGGGAGGTGGCCAATTTCCCTGTTCATCGAATGCGCGAGAGCTTCCATCCGCTTCAGCGCTCTGATTCCGAATTGCGCTCTTTTCCCTGCAGAAGCCCACGGCGAAAGTGAGCTTGGTATACATGCGAGAAGAGGAGGAGGGTCGTACAAGCCGACTTTGCGTTGAACGCTCGCTTTACATGAGGCAGCAGATTCGTGGGTCCACCGCTAGGATTGAACGGGTCGGGGACGAAGTGTGGTGTCGCCGCAGTGAGCCACTGAGGAGTACCAGTCAACAAATGTTTCTCCTCAGCAGATCATATGCGACAAACCCTATGCTGCAGCGCCTCCGCCGCCGTCGGCCGCGCCGCAGGGTCAACAGTAAGACATGCCTGCACAAACTCGCGCGCCGTAGGTGACACATTCGCCCAAAACTCCGCCGGCTCAAACTTCACATCCCCCGCAACAATCGCAGCGGTTTCAGCCTCAGGCGTGTCGCGATCGAACGGGGTGTATCCCGCAAGCAGGAAATACGTGATAACCCCCATAGCCCAGACGTCTACAGGCTTTCCGTGTCCCGCTGCAAATTCAAAGCATCCGTTCAGCGACCCACTCGTATTCGAGACTGGAAGGAAAGGAGGATGGAGGAGGATGGAGAGGACACCCACCATCGCGAAACACCTCCGGCGCCATGTACCCCGCCGTCCCACACACACCCGTAAGTAAGGTCATTCTCTCCTCATCCATAATCCGACTCAATCCGAAATCCGCAATCATGATGTTGGCGTCATCGGCCTCAGTTTGGAAGAGTAGGTTCTCGGGTTTGAGGTCGCGGTGGACAATTCCGCAGTCGTGGATGTATTTGACGGCGGCGAGGATGGTGCGGACGAGGGCGGCGGCGTCGCTGGTGGTGATAGTAGGAGGAAAATATATATAGATATATAAGTGAGGAGCGGATGGGGAGGAAAAGGAACGACGCACGCTTCATAATAGTTCCCCTTGGAACATATGCGATGGAAGAGCTCGCCGCCGGTGCAGAGGTCGAAACATAGGTACAAATTACGATGCGTCTGTTTCATGTTTGTGTTCAGCAGCAGATGGCCATGGCGAGGACGAACCTCAAAGTAGTCGTGCAGCGTTACGATGTTCGGATGTCGACTTGATATACGCTGCAGGACAGCAATCTCGTTTCGCACCTGCAGAAAGAAATCGCTTTAGTGATCTTCTCCTTCGGTCAGACGGCGCACACACCAAGTACTCCCTCCCTTCGATAAACTGCTTGTTAATGATTTTACATGCGTACTTCTGTTCCGTCTCGATATGCGTGGCCTCGCGGACGACAGCGTACGTCCCGCTACCAAGTGTCTTCCCTGTTTTATACTGTGCTCGGGGTCAGTACGTGAGGCTCAGGATGAAGGGGATACAGACTTGACAGGGTCGAATCGCCGCCGTGTTCTGCATGGTGAGCGAAAGTTACAAGAGACAAGAGCAAGACAGGACCACGCGATGCGGATCGGATAAGACGATGAGAAAGACGGGCTCAGCTAATTTTACACAGGAAGCAAATTGGATTCCGAGAGGGTCGGGAAGAGAAGATGCAATGACGGCAATATCTGAGCGGGGCGCTTCGTGGACGTCCCCGCGATTAATCAAAGACCGTGGAAGTAAACAGGGACCCAAGTAATATTCGAACTCAGACTGTGCGCTTGTCAATGGCGAGCGCTTGGAACGGAGAACCTGTTTAGGCCACTAGCAGTAGCATAAGAATGAGCAAGACAGAGACCAATGTTGACAGGGAGAAGCCGAAAGCGCAGTTGCTCCCTAGATAGATATTCCCTAAGAATCGAGCCAGACCTTCAGCACCCATAGATTCGATACGGCGGCCACAATGGGAGAGAAGATACATTTGCCTGGAAAGGGAGTCCGAGCGATGATTACCCGTACCTCGCCCTGACCTCCGTCTGCAAGAACTCTTCCACTGTGCTCACCTTCACCATCAGGGCCACGAGATCCGGGTTGGGGATGGGGTCTCTACCACACTAACACTCACACTCTCATGATCAATGGCCCTGCATATTGTGATGATGCGTTGCCTGCACATCCTGCAATTCATTCATACGAGCACATGCAAAATAACAAGCCTACTCACCTCCAGTACCTCGCGAGCACTCTCCTCCCTCAGCTTCAACACGTGTTTCGACAGGTCGCAAGCTTCAGCAAACCTGTTGGTATACATGCGCGAGGAGGAAGTCGTACAAACGGTACAAGCCGACTTTGTGTTGAACGCCCGCTTGACATGAGGCAGCAAACTCGTTGGTCCGCCGGTAGGATTGAGTGGGTCGGGAAGGAAGTGTGGTGTCGCCGCAGTGAGCCACTGATGAATACCAGTCGGCATAGGTTTCTGGCAGATCATACGCGACATACCTTATGCTCCAGCGCCTCCGCCGCCGTCGGCCGCGTCACGGGGTCAACAGTCAGACACGCCTGCACCAACTCGCGAGCCGTAGGCGACACGTTCGCCCAATACTTTGTCGGCTCAAACTTCAAATCCCGAGCAACAATCGCAGCGATTGCAGCTGCGGATGTGTCGCGATCGAAAGGGGTGTACCCCGCAAGCAGGAAATATGTGATAACTCCCATAGCCCAGATGTCTACGGGCATTCCGTATCCCACTGTAAATTTAGCCCTTCCGTTCAGTGACCCACTCCTCTTCGAGGGAGGCGGAGGATAGATAGGACACCCACCATCGCGAAACACCTCCGGCGCCATATACCCCACCGTCCCACACACCTCTGTAAGCAAGGTCATTCTCTCCTCATCCATAATCCGACTCAATCCGAAATCCGCAATCATGATGTTGGCGTCCTCGGCCTCCGTTTGGAAGAGTAGGTTCTCAGGTTTGAGATCGCGGTGGACAATTCCGCAGTCGTGGATGTATTTGACGGCGGCGAGGATGGTGCGGACGAGGGAGGCGGCGTCGCTAGTAGTGATAGTAGGACGAAAATATAGATATGAGTGAGGAGAGGATGGGGAGGAAGAGGGCCGACGCACGCTTCATAATAGTTCCCCTTGGAACATATGCGATGGAAGAGCTCGCCACCGGTGCAGAGGTCGAAACATAGGTACA